AAAGACAAATATGTGAGGGAAGATTCCTTTAAGTATGGATTATCCAGTTTACACGCTTGGATCCGCTTTATGGAGTTTATACTTTATATTGCATATAATATAATAATAATAATAATAATAAATGTCTTTATTTATTTTTTTAATTTCTGAGTTAACAAAATTTACATATCTGGGCGAAGTTCAGATAGATAAAAAATTATTCCCTGCTCTACCACTGAACCCAGAGCTACTTAATAAAACTAATAACAAACATAAAAATCGAATCGTACAGATATCATAAAGTAAAATAAAATATAATTAGATGAAATTAAACTAAATCAAATCAAATCAAATTAAATTAAATTTATTTAAATGCACACATTTTGGATTATAGAATACAAAATATATATAAATCAGATAGAGGAGAAAAATAAAATATATTTGATAGCATATTGGAGCTGGTTTTTTTAAGAGATTTTAAATTTTCTAAGATTTAATTTTTTTAATAAAGGTGGAAAAATTTTAATCATTTAAATATAAACAAAAAATCGATCTACAATATTCCAAATACTCTCTCAAATGTTAATCAATTAAACGAAGGATTTATAAATGCAGTTTCTTCCTTGCAATCGCCACCAAATAAAAAAAATCAGTATTATAACAACAACATAAAATGTGAATTTGGTAGTAAATTTGAATTTGTTACTGTTCCCAATAATACTATTTATAAATATTTAAACGAAATTACTTCAAATTCAGTGGGATGTAATGAAATTAACAAAGAAATATTAAGATTATGTTGTCCCCACCTTTTACACTATATAACTAACATAATAAATAGCTGCAAATTAGAAAACTATTTCTCAGATGTCTGGAAGCTGTCAATAATTATACCTTTAGCAAAAATAGATAATTCCACTGAATTAAACCATTTACGACCAATTAGTCTTCTACCGATTATGAAAAGTGCTTAAATTCTCAATTAAGAGGACACTTAAAATTATTTAATATATTGCCCAATACCAAGTCTGGATTTCGTCCTGCGCACAGCTGTACAACTGCACTTTTAAAAGTTTTTGACGATATCTTAATTGCTTCAGAGAGAGGATAAGCTACAATTTTGATACTTTTGGATTACAGTAAGGCTTTTGACACAATTAACCATTAATTGTTGCTTGCAATTTTAAAGTACCTAGGGTTGGGGGAAAGTGCATTGGCTTTAATAAAGAGTTACTTAAGTAATCGTACTCAGAAGGTTAGAATTGGCACTAAAGTGTCTGATCCTCTGGCTGTGAGAGTTGGGTTTCCACAAGGGTCCATTCTAAAATATTTTTATTATTTACACTTTTAATTTATCACTATATCTTGAATACTGTAGCGTTCACATGTACGCTGATGACACTCAGATTTATTTAAACTTTTCTAAAAACGATTTGATAGAGGGCACAAGAAAAATTAATATTGATCTTTCTAATATCATTACATTTTCATCAGATCATTATCTTAAAATTAATGCTAAAAAATCTTTTGTTCTAACTTTTCGACTTCCCAAGGAAACAAATTTAAATTTAACAATATGCAATGAAGCCCTTTCAGTTGTTGATAAAGCAAAAAATGTCGATCGCATATAAATAACTGTATTAAAAATGCTTATAACACTTTTAAACTTATTTACCCCCATAGACATATCTTAAACAAGCAAATTAAAGCAACTTTGTGTAATTCTCTTGTTTTGTCAAATTTTAACTTTGGTTGTCAGCTTTTTTTTAGTGCTTTGGATCGTGACTCTGCAAACAGAATTCAAAAGGTCCAAAATTCTTGCTTGCGTTTGATTTTTGTAATACGTAAATATGATCATGTTTCACATAAACTCAGAGAACTTGTCTGGTTAAACATGTCGAGGAGGTTTACATTGTTGGCAGGGTGTCTTTACCACAGAATAATTAAAACTTGTATTCCCAGTTACCTTTATAATAAAATAAAATTCCGAACTGAAGTACACAACCTTAATGTTAGAACTAAAGGCTTAATTTCACCTTTTCATCGCTCTTCTTTATTTGAAAGGTCTTTTACTTTTTCAATTTATAAAATTTATAATTTACACTTTAAGTTATTAAAAATGATTTTTTTTTTCATTACGAAAAGCTAAGTTACAGTAGTTTCTTAAGGATTTGTAGGACTCCCAGTCATTTATGTTTTTAGACTTTTTGTATTTTGTTTTTGCATTATTTTTAAGTTTACTCAATTTGTTTATATTGTCGGTATACCATGGAACTTTATTTTTTGTTATTCTGGATGTGATAAGGGGAGCGTGAGTGTCAACTAGGTTTATTATTATGTTAGTCAAATATGAAATTTTATCATCTATGTTTTTATGTGATATATACAGTCTTAATCGGAAGCAAGTAGATGTTGTGTAAAAAGATCAAAATCAATATTATTAAAATCCCTATAAGTAAACATGATATAACTTTTTTGTAGCTTAAAATCCAACTTACATTGTATTAAATCATGGTCAAAAAAAAAAGAAAGATCACATGAAATGACTTCTTTGCTTTTAATAATTTTAACGTTTGTTACCAAAATATGATAAATTAAACTTGTGGATCTTTCAGTAACCCTTGTAGATTGGTTTATAATTGGAGTAAGTCCTAATGAGTCCAAGAAATCAACATAATATTCTGTTACATTGTATTCTAAATTAAGAAGGTCAATATTTAAATCTCCCATCATGATTATATTATCAGACATACGAAGAATTTGTAGAAAAGTATTTTCAAGTTCGTTTAAAAACAATTTATAATTTAAACTAGGCGATATACATACCTGTTCTATCTCTCTTCAAAGACTGCTAGAGTATTGAATTTTCAGATCAAGAGATTGACACTCTTTTAGATCTATGATCGTAGTGAGAATGTGAAGAGAGCAGCTGCATCCACCTACTACCAATTTACAATATTGGTATCTGTATAGGAGATAACCAGCGCAGTATTCTGGTTATCTTACCTGCGAGCTATCTGTTTCCACAGTAGCCCCTGGTGTCTTAATATGGCTCAGCGTTGGCATTCGCCGCGGCGCCCGATATGAGCCGTGACCCGTTTGCCTAACCTTTTCTGGTGGGGGCAGTCCGAATCCAATCTTATGACATAATATATATAGCCTATACGCACTGCGTATTACGCAGATAGGGATTGTGGTATTCGACATAGTGTCTAGTACCCAATCTTAAAAAGGTGCTTATGTACTAATATGGTCGGCATATATTGACCTTGGGTAATGGTTCTTTCGCATCAAGTCCGGTGTTCAAGCGTTCCGTCCGACATATGATCACCTATGCCAGCCGGCACGCATGTGCACCGACCTTGGTCGATGTCTGCATCGCCCCATTCTTATCTGTCTTATGTTTAATATGGTCTCTAATTCTCTAGTATAGAGGCCGCAGCGCTTGACTTAGAGTCTTACGCCCAATCTAATTATGGCTATCTATGTTATAGACTCCACAAGGAGTCTGCGGAGCAATGGTTTCGTCCCCCAGGGACTGGTGCGCGTGTACACCAGTTTGGTTCGTTCGGCCCATTACTCTCTGCCCTATCTCTTATATGGGTATTTTAAAATAAAGATAAGGGGGGAGGTTTAACCGCTTTTTACAAGGGTGTTTAACTGGGGTAGCATAGCATTTAGAAATGCCTTGAATAAGACAAAAAGTTTGTCTCTGTTTAGGGGGGCTTCAGTCGCTACCGGAGTTTGGGGCAAATTATTGGCGTTATTTTGTCCCTTGGCTAAACTGGCGTAGGAAATTTCTGTAGTCACTTGCTTGGCCGCAGGGAAGTTGCGGGCAGAAGGTTGTGCTACTGTGGAAGTAGGGGTCGCCTTAGGGGCTTGAATATGGGTGAGTTTTGGGAATTTTGGACATCCCCGGTAGCTGGCTGGGTGAGAACCATCGCAGTTTGCACATACGGCGGGAGTATCGCGGGATTTTTGACATTCTTTGGCGAGATCCCTTCGCCACAGCGAACGCATTTAGGTGGCGCCGCGCACAGGTTTTGGGCATGCCCAAAACGCTAGCAGCGGTGACACTGTGATACGCCGCTTTTAGCTCTCTGGGATTCTACACGGACCACAAGATTGCAGACGTATCGGACTTCGTAAACTTGAGATTGTTCACGAGGGATGAGTACCATGGGATACTTCTTTTTGGTCGCTTTATTGGTCATGTGGCTGATGGCCGTGATGTTTAAGCCTTGACTGACGTACCTGTTCTATATTACCAGATGTTTGTACCACAGAATAATCCAACCCTTCTCTAACATATATCCCCACTCCTCCACCTCTTCCATCTCTATTCTTAAATCAAAATCTATTCAATTTATACTTTTTAAACATTTTCATTCGTTAACCAAGTTTCCGAAATAGATCATATTTTGCATTGTTGAAAGGTTCTGAAAATCGATAAATTTTGGCAATATTGACCAACATTTAAATGGGCCACCCCACTCATTATTAAAAATAAAAATAACAACCAAAATGCAATAAGGAAGCGAGAAAAAAGAAAGTATTAAAATAAAAATAATATACTAATGTCTATGTAGAAACAATCCAAAATATGTGCAGTAATTCAGTATGAGAAAACTTACAAAAACAAACAATCAAAACAAAAGTTAATTTTAAAAGATACCTACCTATCCTTGTAAATAAAAACAAATAAATATCATTAGTCAATTTTCCTTGCAATTAATAATAATAACTGTAATAAATAAATATTTTTTTAATTTTTAATGCCCTAAATAAAGTTACTTTGCAAAGTTTCATGAATTACAAAATAAAATTAAAATAAAATAATATAAATTCAGATACTAAAGAGGCATAATTTATACAATTTATTACTACAAAACTGTTATATACAACAAAAATATAAACTATTATATACAACAAAAATATAAACGAATTAATTATAAGCAAATACACAGAATTAAAGCAAAGTGTAACTAGGATTGCAACTTACATATTTTTTAACTATTTAGCTTATCCAAATCAGTATTGTTATCAACAAACACTTTTTTATTGTTGCACATAACAAAAATGTTTCCAAATGCAGACCAGCACTCGTTTTTAAACAGCTCCACGCACTTCTTAAAAAGATTTAGCATATTGCTAGTAAGTAATTCAGTGATTAACATTTTAGAACCCTTTAGACATTTCTTAAAATAACACTTCGTCGCGTCTCCTCTTAAGCACAAATTTTACTACGACTGGCCTTGGATTTTGTGCACTGATTCGCTTTTTGCCCATTCTGAATGTATCGAAGATATCTGTTTTAACAATTTATTGTTTTATAACATCATTAATTATTTTAATAATTTCATTTAGGAAATTTTAGGTACACCGTGAAATAGTATCGCTGAATTGTTATCTAATTGCTGCAGATTGTCCATTTCAATAGACAAAATATTTATATGTGCTTTTATTTTGGACAACTCTGTGGCTACTTTGGACTCAAAGGCATTTAATTTTGTAAATATATTACTTTGTTCTACACTTTCACTGCTGTCACCGGTCACTTTAATTAAACTGTGATACAAAATTAAGGTTTGCGAAAGGGATTGGAATAAAACCAAAAGCAAATGAAAGTTAATACTTTCCACAAGAAAACCCTATCAGGATTTTTTTATATCACGTCTCAGTTATTTTTTGTACGCATTTAAAGATGGTAAATTTTGACACCCTATAGTATGAAAAACATAAGTAAAACTATGTTAATTTTTCAAAATATATTTGTCAATTTGAATCCATTTGTGTTGTTAATTTTTACCAATGATCCTCAGAAGAGGACGCTATTAAAAAATTGTTACTACTTTTTACTATTTTGGAAGGTGAGAAATCCATTTTTGTCATCCGTTTGTTGTAAAATATACCCTAGGTGATATTCCAAAGCAATTTTTAATATTTTTGATTTATTAGTATAGAAAACTTGTTTTTTTTTAAATAGCATTTTTACTTCTTAAACTAAACATTATTAAATTCGCTATTTTATTTTTATTTAAAAACTATCACTGCTGTAACCGGCAGTAACACGAGTTGAAGTACCAGAAGTTCCAGCTGTTCATCTAAAAATTGATAAAAATGCAAAATATAATCAATATAATCAAAAATACGAATAGAGAATCCATGTTTTAATATAAAAATAAAAAAAATAACTGAATTATACGACAACATTGAAACACCAAATTTCATTGATTATTTAATTAAATTGTTATTACAAGTTCTGCAAACTTTTCAACATATTCAATTATATGTATTCCGTAATATTGTAGGTACAATTGTTTTACATTTTCATATTTTGGAACTAAGTTTTGTTTTATATTATATTGTCCTTTAAATAAAAAAAATAATTTAATCAAATATATTAATTAAGAAGAACGTTTTATGTTGCTGTCACTGATTTACTATATGTGTTTTTAAGTAAACAAATCAATTTTACCTTTAAACAACGTCGTTTTTGCTACAAAAACTACAATTTTTTGTAGTAATAATATTTTTGCAAATTTTCTAGTAAAAATGCTCTTTCATTGGAATGGATTCCTCGACTATATTGCCAGAATAATTTTAAAAAGTTAAAATTGTTTTACTTATTTTTTTCCTACTATAGGGTGTCCAAAAATCTACCAACTTGAAATGCGTATAATAAACAACTGAGACGTTATCTAAAAAAAACCTATAGGGTTTTTTTGTAGAAGCTATTACCTTTCATTTGCTTTTAGTTTCATCCCATTCCCTTTTGCACTGTTGCACTGTGTTATTTTAAATTCATCACGGAATTCTTAAAGTTTTGCGTGAAAATCATCACTTAGTTTATCTATTTTTTTATTAACGTCTTTAATACTTCTGACCATAATAACTACACTGCACTTAAATAAAATACCAACGGTTTTATGGCGATATTTCTATTAGAATTTAACACAAATTTAGCAAGGAATTGCAAACACGCTTTACATGAGGTACGCCATCTTTTCATTTAAGTCTTGGTCAGCAAGGAGTAAAAATGACAAAAAAATAAAACAAAAAGAAAAAAGACGAATACAAAATAAATTTTGCTAAGAACTGGGCTTATTAATAGATCCCAAAACAGGGAACTGGAAATTACAATGATGTAAATACTGACAGAAGATTTTTTCAAGATGCTCTAAAATATTCTGAAATTACAAAAGTAAATTTTGACTTAATTAAGTGTTAGCATGTAATGAAAATATCGACAGTGTAAAATTTAATTAGTTCTCTTGAAAAACTGCAGAATAATATGTATTATATTCTTTGTTTTATATGCCGTCTTCTTTGCATAGAATTGCATAAAATTAATTAGATGGAAAGTATAAGAAAAAAATAGCCATTCTTAGTTTTAGTATAATGCATATACATTTTTGTTTATAAAGCCTATTTATTTCTAAGCAAATTAAAGTAGAGCTCTTTCTCGATTAATAAGATCACAAATTAATTTTGATCTAAAAAGTAAGTTTCTAGACCACCGTGTAGTAGCGTTCAAAAAAGTTCTGATTCGAAAAAAGTACCCAGTATACTATTAAGAGAATACTTAAAAAAATGTAAGGTACCTATTTATATTTAAATGCATAGCAGATTATAATAATTTATCTTTTATATTATATTAAAGATAAACAAACAAATTTTTAAGTTTAACATCATGTGTCAAAAAGAGAACACAATATTTGATCATAGCTTATTTAAAAAACTACCTTTATTAAGTTTATTTGTCGATAAACTATCGGGTGGAGGTGATGAAATTGTGAGGACATAAACTGGACCATCCTGTATATTTAATAAATAAAATATTATTAGGTCCCAATGTTATTAGGTTTTTTATATTATTGTAAATAATTTTATAAACACATGTGCGTACTGCAAAAAAAATATCTTTGGTAATCACATATGAATTTTTATCGCCAAAAAATGACCACCGTAATATTGTTTTATGTGGTAGTAATCCCAGGCTAAATTAAATAAACTGTTAAAATAGATTTTATTTTTAATACAGATTATATTTGCTTTAATCGAAGAAAGATATTATAGCCATTAAATGTGAAATTCACACGTTTCTCAATATGCGTTATAAGAACATTGTCGACCCGAAGCTCAATATAGCAGTTTGCTGACACATATTATCTCCGAAGGGACCGTGTCAGCACCGAGTATTATAAAGTGTACCCAGGCAGCAAATAAAGGAATTGCATGCAACTGACAAATACCGCAAAGGGCGAAGTGCACGGTGTTAAGTGAATTCCACGTACGTAAATCAATTGAAAATTGTTTTTGACCGGAAAATTTAAGGTTATAGAATTTAAACGGCTGCGTCTCGGTTCAAACCCAAAGTGGAGTGATGGAAAAAATATCATAAATTGTGTAGGTTTTTAAATTTTAATATACTTTAAGTTTATTATAAATGATATCATTAAATACTAAATTTCTTATATTATGACGATTTAAGAAGTTTAAAATTATACTAATATCATAAACATGTATTTATTTTAGACTGAACTGATATAATATACTTTACTTGATTAGGAAATACGCAAATAATATATGGTATAGGTACCTTACTTTACTTTTTTATGTAAACAGCTCAAGAATTCGGTTTTTAAGAGTGAAAGCACTTCCCTAAGAGTGGGAAATATCGCTTCGACGCCAACAGCACTGCATATTATATGTTGTGATGACACAGGCTTAAAAACCGTTAAAAATATTCTCTAGCGAGTCACTGGTGTTTCACGGAAATAAATGTTATGATAAGGTAAATCAAATCCATTTATTAATTTAAGAAAAGACAAAATTTATCTAAAATGAATTAGTTTAATCTAAAATAGAATAAATCAAGAAAAAAACTGACAAATTTAAGTTTTTTATGATAAATATGTACATTTCGCAGATGATTAATATCATCAAATTAAAATTAACATCCTAAGATAAACATTATCGTTTAAGTGCTAAATCGAATACATTTTTTTCTGGGAACAGCAAAGTTAAGATTGGTCACAGAAAAAGTTTTTCTTAAACCAATCAAACAATAAGATTGGCTTTATGTAACGTTAAGCTTAATTTTTATTTTATTTTATTATATTCCTATTTGGATTAATTTTATTAAATAATATTTAAATAATAACTAAATGGATTTAACTTTATTTTTACTAGTATTAGTAAGTAGTATCAAAAGTTAGATAGAATTAGTTTTATATTTGATTAATGTTAGTACACATTTTATGTAGTTCTTTTTCTAAAATTCAGTAAATGTTTCTAATAATTTCATCTAGACAGGATTATTATAATTTAAACATATTTCAAATATATTTGGAATAAAAACAATAAAATAATTGCTTAATATGTATACATGTTTAAATTAAAATAATTCTGTCTAGATTGAATTATTTGAAAAATTTACTCAATTTTAGAAAAAGACCTATAAAATGTGTACTAACAATAATCAAATATAAAACTAATTCTATCAAATTTTTAATACGATTATCCAATATTTGACTGAATTATTAAAAGTCAGCTAAAATCAAGCTATTTTTTTGACCAAATCTGTAATATAAGCAACAAATTTAGCAAACATGCCAATTTTTAATTTTTAACGCGTTTTAGTTTGCACTTTCTCTTCGAGACAGGTGGTGTAGTGAATTGTGAAAAAACGATCGTGTCCATTCAACACAGCAGATTCCAAAACCGTTTATTTTGACTTCGCTCTCATAGTTTTTGCGATATATGTAGGTATAATAAATTTTATAAATTACACGTTTTTGGTTATTAAGAGTTAAATAGGTACCTATGTTCCTACCAAGCATCCCCACAAGAAGGTCTGTTCGATTTGGTTGGAATTCGAACGAAAACTGTTGTGCGCACCTGTGGGATATCTCCAGCCACCATCTTTGATTAATTTGACGCCGTTAAATTATATTTAAACTGTTGTTTTTTTAAGGTTTTAAACGGGTATTTTAAAACTTTAAAATTATACATTATATTAGTCAATTAAACATAAAAAACAATTGTTAAACTAAACCATTATTGAGTTATTTTTTTGTATTTTGAACCTATAGATTATTATTTTATTGAGTTATTTTTTATGAAAGTTTGTAAGCTAAAATAAATAAATATTTATTAAACACAAAATTTAGTATATATACTTTTCCTACCACACTATCACAGCTTATTACGAAGATCAATATTCCAGTCAATAATCAAATATTGAATTGATTAAAATAATACAATTTTTGATAAATTCAATATATTTTTTACTAACTATTTAGATAAATTTTGCACAAATCAATCAAATGGTCTGATAAACTTTATCCTAATTATTCTTAATTTTGCCAAATTGCCACTATTAAAAAATAGATTAAATTGACCTAAAAAATGCTTAATTGAATCCAAGAATTGGTAAATTTAAGAAAATATTATGTGGATTCTAGAAAATCGTAGGCGAATTTAATTTAATTTTCACTAGTAATACCACTAGAGGTCAAATTATTTCCGGATATTTTTTCGAGCTTATGAATATTTTGAAAATTATCCCGAGTCGAAGACGAGGGATAATTTTCTAAAAATATTCATGAGGGAGAAAAAATTTCCGGATTTAATTTGACCTCGTGTGGTATTCGGTAAGAAAATTCCACACCAAATTGTGTTTAAATAATTAAAATTTATTTTTTGATTTAACTTGACCTCGACTTGATTATTTAGTTACCATGGCAACTAAGTCAACCCCAACCTAAAAGTTATTTTTCTATGGTTATTTCAGTTTTGAAGCTGTCAAGCGGCACGACGTAAAAAAATGTGAAATTGTCTGCTGTAATGATCAATCATCGTGCAATGACTTATTTACCCGCATTATTAGAGGATTGTGGCTCCTACTTGAAGAAAGAAAATTTGTTTTGAATTGTTCACGAATATTTGCATCTTAACTATTCAAAACTCAAAGTGCTAAATGGAAAAAAAGGTGAATAGAATAGTGTCTAAATATTATATAATATATATATATATATATATATATATATATATATATATATATAATATTTCATTAGACATAGACATTTAATTTATTTCAAGTCCTGCATTTTCGCCATTAAGAAGAAAGGAGGTGTCCAACGAATATAGAAAACATCTAATAATGGAAATGTATCAAAATTATCATGTAAACAAATAAAAACCACATTGTCAAAAAAATATTCTGTCATTATAAACGTCAAAAAAATTTCCAGTATAATTCGCTGTTGGGTACCCACGAGGAAAAAATTTCCACTAAAATTCAACCGTTGCCATGGTGATCTATCAAAAATACACGTTTTGATTTGTTAAAAATTACAGGTGTGGAATTTTCACTATAATTATTCTAAATTTTGTGGTCATTTATAAAACTTATTTGCTGCTATTTATCACGGTTTGATACATTTAAGCCTAGCAAATAATTCATTCAAAAATTTGATTGTAATACTACCTTACTGGATTAATTGTATTCAAAATTTCTTTCCGTGTTGGAGGTAGTCGAAGTGTGGTGTGAATTTTTAAAACGCATTGCGTTATTATTAATTTACTTTTAAAAAATTAGTCAGATACTTAAAATGTTACCTACCCTGTAGGTTTAAACAGTAAATTATTTATTTAGTTGATTGTGTAAAATTATTATTTGTTTTGCATTTATCAAAAATATATTTTATTATAAAAGCAATTAAACATAAAACAATTTTCTTAAACTTAAACTAAATATCCAAAACTTGATAAAATAATTTTTACATTGATTTAAAGAGAATTGTTAATGTTTAAATAATAATTTTACACATTCGACTAAATTAATAATTTACTGTTAAAAGTGGCTATGTTAGTAAATTAATAATAACGCAATGCGTTTTAGAAAATGCACAGCGAACTTCAAATACAACCATTTGATATAGAATAACAGAAATTAATTTATCTTTAAGCGCTGCGTACAGCATTGTACTAAGAGTCTTAGTACCACAATAGAACACTGTTCTAAAAACAGCATTCAAAACGCAAATGATCCTCCGCGTTGGGATGCACTCGGGACTGTTTACATTTGGCGTTAAAATATTATGGTAATATATGTTTTACCAAATGAATACATTACCAACTAAGAAAAACTTGAGATAATGACCGGTAGAAAAAACTTTAAAATAATATTTGAGGACCTCCTGCTAGAATGCTTGGATTAAAATATAATATTCACCACGTTTGTTTATTTTACAATTAAATATTTTAGTTGAGGGCAACGAGTGCGCTATTTAAATTAAATTTATTTTGATGTCGGCGTACCGCTTTTGTTTTTGAAGTTTTCGAAAGTTTAAATTTGTACACTGCAAACGCGTTACTACAATAAAAAATAATAACCCATCCATCACAACTTACTGAATATGTATGTATGTCGAAAGGATGAATATATCTGCAATTGAAATTCTACAAAAATTCAAAATGTTTATGGAAAATGTATCATCGTAAATTTAGTTTATTGCCTCACTGTTTAATGTCAAAATAATTATGCAAATACGAAACGTATGCAATTTTAACCACTACTACGTGGAAAACGTTTAAAAATAAATTTTTGTTCAAAAAATTTGTTTCTAAAAAATTTGTATCCGATAATTAAATATTGATGAATCTATGTTACATTAGCCCGGGATTAATTTATAAAAATTATTAAATGTGTTAACAAAAAATTGTTTGTGTCTAAGGATGCAGATGACAAGAGGAAAAATTAGATATATCTATATAAATTTTTAGTTCACACACAGTTTTTGTTTAATAAATTTTAAACATCAACGACAATATAGTTTTATAAATTTTTTCCATTAAATGGAAAATTGACTATATCTCAAAAACTGTTTTACTTTTGACATTTTCGGATTCAGGGGACAATTTTACATAAGAATTGGCTGTTAAATTTTGGGATACCATGGTATTTCATGGTTAACCATGGTACAAGTGAAAAAACAGCCACTAATAACTATTAAATTAGTAATTTTTGAGTAATTCATTTTTAGAGAGTAGGGAACCCAAACTTGATAAGTTTGGCTATTAGACTATCCAACCAGACTGTGTCGATGCCTTTTCGACATCAAGCAGGGCCATCACAGTGTTCTTGCTACTATTAAAGGCCTGCTTGACGTCGCCAATACGCACAGCTTGGTGGACACAATCCTCGCTGGAATGCAAACTGTTCCACTGGGGTTATATACAGCCCATTCAGAATAAAACCGAATATATCTATATATATATATATATATATATGGGGCGCGGCCTCGCCTCCCTCCAACGTGCGACACAGTAGCTAAGCAAATAGGCTGCATCGCTAATGAGATTTTTTCCATTATTATCATTTAATTTTTTAAGTCCTTATCTGCTCGACCTTTCGTCATGTCGTTTATCACACAAGCTACTGTGACGCGCCTTGGAGGGAGGCGAGGCCACGCCCCATATATATATATAGATATATTCGGTTTTAGTCTGAACAAGCTGTATAAGTACTATGACTTTATAAGGATGTTGTCAATACCATCCACCCCAGGGGCCTTATTATTAGCCAACTTGCGATATATACCACTGATTTTTGAGGCGCTGGTTATATAGCTATTATCAGTAGTATTAGCTTTCCCTCAGGGGCGCACCCATATGGTGCGTACGGGAACTGGCGAACCCGGGGTACCCGAGCTCGTGTGGCAGCACTTGGCTGGCCACTACTGAAGTCCGGGTAGCGTCTGTAACGGAGCGTTCGGCTACCCGGCCAGCGTCTGTTCCCAGAGGGACGGCTGTCCCTCAACCACCTGGCTGTAGGTATAAAAAGCGATGGAAGGGAACCATCTCAAAAAACCAACTATGCAATATGGAGGATAGAAAACAAAATCCCCAGGAGGGTCCGGCAACGCCGGGAATCCCTCCCCGCGCAAGCGGGCTGCCCCACGGATCTGGGGGGGGGGGCAATATTACTCCCACAAAAGAAAAGAAAAAAATAAAAACAAAAAAAAAAGAACAGCATAACAGACGAAACCACACCTCAAGGTGATGGATCCGGGAAAATAAGGGACTCCGCAGAGAACATATACACTACCCCTATACCCCCGACGGAGGATGAAATACCGCAGAGACTGTCCTTGGATGAGAAAGGGAGAGACGCTACAGCAAAGCTGCCCATGCACCCTTTATTAGAGGAGAGCTTAAGGGGGTCAAAAGGAAACGTGGTGGATCTCACGTACGACGCTGGAACAAGCACCATAATCAGGAGCTTCAGGGACATGTTTGGAGCGATGAATAGGAGCGTCTCCCTGACGGAGCTGGGGAATGCAAGCCCGTTCAAGGCGACACAGATAGGGTGCGGCACGGTACTCAGGGAAGATGAGATCAAAATACTGGAGGAGCACAACAGAAGAAGGTCCATAATCCGAACGCCCTCGAAGGCAACAAGTGCGAAATCAACTCCTGCAACGTGTGAAACAGCTAGTGCCCCTGAGGAAAGAAAAGAGTACGGGAAAAGGGGAAGAGGAGAGAAAGAGAATGTAGAGGAGATGCATAAGGAAATGATACATCTTAAGAAGCTAATAGCTCAGACGTGCCAAGGGATAGACGAGATATACCGGCAGACGGTAGAAATAACAAATACCAAGACAGAAACGAAAAATGCCGCGAGAAAGCTAAAGGACCTCGCCAATAAGATGAAATCTATTAGGGTAAATAACTTTATGAAGTCGATGTTGGAAGACCCAAGCCAGAAATGCCCCAGACTGAATGTGGAGAAAACAACACAACTCACCTCAAGAGGGACACAGACCGACAGCCATGAGGTTTTCTCTATGGAAACCCAAACGGACGAGGACACATCGCAGGAAGAGACAACACCAACTGCCATGGACATCGGTGAAACAATCGAAGGAATTAAAAAACCGGAAGACGTTACACGGGTAATCTCGATGACCTGGCCGGAGGAGGCATATCAAAACACAACTATTAAGGAAGGAAACCCTCTAACAGTCTCAAAGGACTTCGACTTGGCTATCCTCCCGCTGGAAGAGGAAAAAACTCTACAAAAAGGGATTCTGAAACAAGCCAAAGATATGTACCCGGAGATCTTGGAAATCGAAGGAGAGGACACGTATATAACAAGAACAATACGAACAAAAAAAGAGTCGATAACGAATATTATCTACAAAACTGTTTTAAAACGACCAGAAGAAGAAGACATAATCAAGGCGCTTCAAGAACTCTCAAAAGATATGCTGGCAAATGGCAGAACGAAAGTCGTTATACCGCGAGTCAGAAATATTGAAATAAACAAGCTCAGAAAGCTGGTGGAAATTGCCACATATAAACAAAATGTGACTATACATATATATGAACCAACAAAAAAGAACAAACAAAAAGAAGGAAAAAATAAAAGACAGAAAAATGGAAGCAAAAATGGAATAAAAGACACAAACGCGTTATTCATAACGGATAAAACAAAAACATATGCAGAATTGTTAAAGGACATAAGGGAGGAAATAAAAGATGACCCGAACCTTAAAATCAACTCCATCAGGGAAACAAGGAAAGGGGAGATGCTGCTTACTATGAACAAACTAGACCCCAATTTCAACACCCTCAAGCAGAAGATGAGAGACAGACTGGGAGACAACAAGGTAAGGTTCAAAAGAGCGGAGGAAAACAATAAAATCCTCCATATAAAGGGCATGGATGCCATAACAACAGAGGAAGAAATTATGGCCGCTCTATGCGCACAAACGGGGACAGCAAACACCAATAAAGAAATAATTCTCACTAGCCTGAGGCCAGCGTATGGAAACACCAAGAATGCCACCATTAAGACAACTGAGAGTGTAGCAAACAAGATCCTCAAAGCAGACAAAATATACATAGGAATATCCAGCTGCACGATAATTTTGAGGAAGGAGGTACTCAGGTGCTACAGATGCTGGGAACACAACCATGTGGCAAAGGGATGCCAGGGAGTGGATAGATCCAAGGCCTGCAATAGATGTGCACAAGAAGGTCACATGGCAAGGGACTGTGAGAATGAACCATACTGCCCCCTTTGCCAAAAGAAGGGGCACAGGGCTGGTAACGCAGGATGCCCCAAATTTATGTTGATAGCCTCGGCTTCAACTTAAAGATAGTGCAATTAAACGCCAACCGGCGCGCAGTGGCACATGACCTGCTAGAGGCCACAGCGCGGAAAGAAGAGATAGATATACTACTGGTAAGTGAACCTAACACCAAATTCATCGCCAACCATAGATGGCTTAAAGACACAAACAAAAACACGGCCATTAAAGTAATAAACCCGACAGTGGCAGTGTACGAAACGGGCTCCGGGAAAGCCTTCACTAGAATAGACACAAAGCAACACAGGATATATAGCTGTTATTTTTCCCCAAACACCGACCTGCATGTTTTCATAAGCAATCTGGCGGAACTTCAAGACGACCTGAAACAAACCAAGAAAAAAATAATTATAGGGGGGGATTTTAATGCCAAATCACCGGAGTGGGGAAGCCACGCAGAAGACAGAAGAGGAGAGGAGCTGACCCTGTGGATGGCCAGCAACAAACTGACAGTCCTCATTGATGGGGCACAACCCACTTTCATACGAAGCGGACAAACCTCACACATAGATATTACATGCGTCACCGAAGACATGGCAAGGCAAGTTAGCAGCTGGAAGGTACTCGACAATGAGACCCTTAGTGACCACCAGTATATTTATACCGAAATCAACAGCAAAGATCCAAAAGAGGAAAACAAACAGACAAGCCGATGGTTACCCAAAAAACTCAACAACAAAAAATTCCAGAATACCCTAAAAAGAGAGATTCACGGGAACAGTTCAACGGACATCGAAAACTGTATGAATTGCATAGCCAAAAGCTGCATGGCTGCTATGCCAAAGAGTGGGAAGAAAAGCGGGAAAAAAGAGGTATACTGGTGGTCACAGGACATAGCCCACCAGAGGAAAGCCTGCAACACCCTGAGGAGAAGGGCCACGAGGGAAAGAAAAAGGGGGCTCACGATGGAATATCAAGAAGCCCAGGCAAAGTACAAAAACGCCAAGAAGGACATAGTAAAAAGGATTAAAAAATCTAAAGCTAACCAGTGGTCAAAGCTATGTCAGGAGGTGGAAGACGACGTCTGGGGGCAAGGCTACCAGATCGTCATGGGAAAACTGGGACGGAAAAGCCCGAATATCCCGGACGAACTCAAAATGGCGGTAGAAAGGGAACTCTTTCCCGAGCAGAACGAGGGAGAAAGGGAAAACATCAACCTAACAGCCGAGTTCGAAAGGTACAGCGAGGAAGAAGTTATAGTGGCAAGTGGAAGGCTAAAATCTGGGAAGGCAGCTGGACCTGACGGTATACCACCGGAAGCTATAAAACTCGCCACGCAGACAGCCCCGCTGTACATAACCGCTGTAATAAACCAAATTTGTGAAAAAGGAATCTTTCATCGGCAGTTCAAAACGGCAAGATTGACACTGCTGAGGAAACCACACAAAGAGAGTAACGATTCAACGTCCTTCAGACCATTGTGTCTACTAGACACGATGGGAAAGCTGGTAGAACAGCTGATAGTCACCAGACTAAGACTTGAACTGGAGCAGAAGGAAGACTTGCACGAAAACCAGTATGGCTTCCGCAAAGGCAGGACCACCGTACAAGCCATCCAGAAGGTGACGATATCCGCAGAGGAAGAACTAAAAAAACCCTCCAAGAGAAGACAACTGTGTGCCGCAGTCACACTGGACATTAAAAATGCTTTCAACACCGCCTCTTGGGGGTTAATAATAAAGGGTCTAAAGAGCAGAAACATATCAGCACACCTAATATCTATTATAAGTAGTTACCTGGAGGATAGACACCTACAAATTGGAGAAGACACGCTGAGGATTACCGGAGGGGTCCCGCAGGGAAGCGTCCTCGGACCGACCCTGTGGAATGTCCTGTACGACGGAGCCCTAAGGTTGGAGACGAACCACGGAGTAGAGACCATCGCTTATGCCGACGACTTGGTGGTAGTGGCGAGGGCCAAGGACGAGGCCCAACTGATGGAAATGATGAATGACGCCCTGGAGGAAATAGCCTGGTGGATGGAGCAGAACAAGCTTACGCTCGCCACCCACAAAACCGAAGCTATCCTTATGGTAGGAAAAAAGAAACACAGGGACATCACCTTCCGGCTGCGAAATGACATAATCACCCCGAAGAACAACCTGAAGTACCTGGGGGTCTTCATGGACAAAAATCTAAACTACTCACAGCACATAAGGTATATATGCGGCAAAGCGGACGCAGCGGCGACGGCGCTCGGTCGCATACTGCCAAGGACTGGGGGAGCGAGTGAGTCAAGGAGGAGACTCCTGGCAACAGTCACGGAGTCCATAATGCTATATGCCGTGCCCGTTTGGATAAATGCCATGAAGATCCAGAGAAACAGAAAGGCGTGCGGAAGAGTACAGAGGAAGATGGCCATAAGGATATGTAGAGGCTACAGGACCATATCAAGGGAGGCAGCTGGGGTGCTCGGCCGAGTAATACCCTTCGACCTGCTGGCGCAGGAGAGATGCGATGCCCACAGCAAAACCAAGGCAGAGAAAGATGAACTGCGGTGCACGACTATCGAAAAATGGCAGGCCAGATGGAACGCAAACACCAAAGACCTGTGGCTACACAAACTCCTGCCGGTCATTGGGACGTGGTACCACAGGAAGCACGGAGACATTGATGAGTATCTAACTCAGATATGCACCTCCCACGGATGCTTCCAAAAGTACCTGTATGGCATTAAAAAGGTGGACTCGCCAATGTGCAAATACTGTGGCGAGGAAGAGGACGATGCGGAGCACACTCTCTTCAGGTGCAAGAGATGGGAGGAGGTGAGAAGGACGCTGTATACGGCAATAGGCCTAAGAGTAACCCCTGACAACCTTCTCATGACCATGATTGCAGATGAAGACAGCTGGGAGCAAATCAGAAAGGTGATTGAAGTTATTATGAAACAAAAGAAAGAGGACAAAAAACAGAACAAAGACAACAACGGCAACAACAACAGCCACAAAATCAACAACAGCAGCAACAACGACAGTAACAAAAAGGACCAGCACCCCACGAAGTAATACTAACGTGGTTCCGTGGGGTGTAGAAGAACAGAGAGGGGTTTTAGCCGGTAAGAGTCCGGCACTACCTTGAGTGGGCACAAAAGGTGTCCATGAGGATTTCCCCTCTCCCCCAAAAAAAAAAAAAAAAAGTAGTATTAGCTTGCTTTAGGTTGTTTTTGATGTCTGTGCTTGATCACTAATGTGACTTGTTGTTGATGTCATTGTTCGTGATTTCGTAAAAGAATCTGGCAATAGCATCTTTTTTATCTTTGCTAGAGGTATGCATTGTGTCGTTAGTAATTATAGTATGAAAGTAATTGTTCTTAGGCTTTATTGGACGCGCCAGTTTCCAGAGACTATTGTCAGATGCTTTCACAGTATTGGCCCATACCTGGTCACGATCAGTGGCGAAGCTAGCCTCCAGGGGGCCCTGTATCAAAAATCTGGTGGGGGCCTTTACAGTGTAAAGTTTACACGGGAAAAGCTGCTGGCAAAAAATATCTGGGTGTCAAGCCCAAAGTCTATTTTGGACAAACAAGAAATAATTTAGGGTATCATTTTTTTGCATTTACCAATTTTTTATAATTTAATAAATAATATATGTATACATAGCTATATACAGGCAAATTTTAAAATTTGGTCTGGGTTTAGACATTTACTGTTCTTCAACATCTTTTAAAAGGTTTCTATTTTAAAATATCAAATAACACGCAAAGCAGACTCAGTCTGCGGCGCAGAGCACAGAACAATATGCGCAGACAACGCATAGCGGAAAGGTGCGGGCAGAAACAATTCGTAAGAGTTCACTACCTCTTGGAACAGGAGGGTATTCAGGGAAATTTTAATTTAATAAATCGAAGTATAAACAATTAAATAATAATATTATTTATTTATTTAATTTCATGCCTCAGTTTTTTTAGCGTGTAGGTAATATGTTTTTGCTTACGCATGTCGAAGCCAATCGCCCCCCCCCCCCTAGCTGGGGGCCCCGTATCATTGATACGGCTGATACCGCGGTAGCTACGCCTCTGGTCACGATGTTCCTGCAGATCGTGCTTTATCTCAATTCTGAGTACGTTATATCATCATGTATTCATCTCTACGGTGTATGTTGTAGAGACGCTTGTACTGGTTTTTATCATGGATTTTAGCCACTAATTCTGGAGAAATGTCGTCAATGGGCTGTTTTATTATACAAATTTTGGTATATCTATCGCGCTCTGCAGTGAGGACATCAGTAAACGTCTCAAAGGCCAAATCGATAGTATTGAGTATTAAGTTTTTTGTTAATTATGGTATTATCATTAACAATTGCTCTGTACCTTCGCCAGTCGGTATTGGCATAATTATAAATGGGCCTGGCTAAATGCGGGGAGCTATTTTGGTTTGGACTTAAAACATCACTGGCAGTTCATGAAGCGCTATGGGTTCATCTGTTAGTATAACGTTCTTAGTGATATCGAGTGTCGAGCGTGTTTGTCCGTTTGTCGGGTAGTGTGTAGGCCTACTTGATAGTGATTAGCCCTTTTTGGATGTCTAGTAAGTTGTCTAGATCTAATTGACTGAAGTGGTTATATTAGGTGAGTTGATGATGTTAATTCTAGCTATGACATGTTCTATGGATGACTGTTTGTTATGAATTTTAGTGTGAGGTATATCGTTGCTTACAAGCATGGCCACTCCACCGCCCGGTGAGCGCCCGGGCGATCCGACCTGTAAACTTGATAT